TAAACTAGATGGGACGTCACATGGTATGGAATACACTGTTGGCCAGTTTGGGTCAGGTGCCCTGGCTGGGCATGAGAAGCTGAAAAATCCTTGACTCTAGTCTAAACACTACTGAGCAACAACTGAAAACATCAGTGTTATCAACATTCTTCACATACTGAACTCAAAACATAGCACTGTACCAGCTACTAGGAAGACAGCTAACTACATCCCAGCTGAAACCAGGACAAGTACTCATAATTCTTGTCTGTATTTCAGAATGGTATTAAAGAGCCATCCTACAGCGTATGGAGTCCTTAGATGTAAAGATGCACTGTTAAGATGGTAGCAATTTTTGACATACTAACCTGGCCAGTAGTACATGGAAACATTCTTTTTTTCTTTCATCATTGTGACCCACAAAGGCTCCGATCCATTCCACCAGAGAGGCAGCATGCTTTCTTTATTCACACCAATATCAAAAGATAAATTTGTCTTTTGGTCCCACATGTAGTTTCCAATCATCTGATGGACTTCACAGTGGCGACCTTCAGGGGTGGAGAAAAAAAAACAGCACAATCAGATTGGTGTTCTCCAGCAGAAGGATGGCACCAGCACCACCACTGCTACCACTGGATCATCCAGCAAATCAGCTGAAAAGCCCTGATTTGAACTCAGAGACCTCTTACCTTGCAACCGCTCATACGATCTTCTTGACTCTGTTACCTTTTATTGAGGTCCTCTAGGTAGCTCTCTATATCCCCCCAGTTCAGCCACCTAAAAGTTAGTTGCTGAAGCTTGTCAGCCACCTGTGTTCCCTTCACAGTCAAAGGAGAAGAAGAGGCACCTCTAGAAAGCAATCCGTGCCATCCTCACATAGGCATCTAAGGGATGCTAAGGAGGAGTTATCCTCTGGTGGTACATATTGCTCTCTATTAGTTGTAGAGAAAGATCACATCATTCACTTAGCTTCAGACAGCCAACTTTTGGACAGCTGAGGCCAGAAGAAACAAATCCCGCACCCCGTGGCCTGTTCAACATGCCGTACCCAGTCCGTACACACAAACCGCGGCAGCCCATGCGGGTGCCACGTGTTTGGCTGATGCCTGGCTCCTTCTACACACACAACATCTGCCAAGTCTGAGGCCATTTTAAGGTACCCGCCAGCGCACAGACCCAGAGAGCTGCAGGAACAGTCTGTGAATGGGAAGGGGTAAGAGCACGATCTGGAAACACAGAATAAAGTTTGGGAAACTCACATTTCCCCTCTCCTTTATCCATAGGGCACACTGTTTTTCTGCAAACCAGCAAAAACTAGGCTAAAGCCTATATATATTACTTTTATTTTCCATTATTGTTAGTTTTGGGTTTTTTTAAATGAACACACTTTGGTCTTGGTTGTGGGGACAGCAAACATTTCATCAAACATTTTCAGCCCTCTTACTGCATCTTGGGGGCCCTTGGGGAACATTGTACTACAAGAAACCAGTATATAATAGCTGAGAGATGTCTTCCACTTCTTGTCATTGTCAGAAGAGAAGATACTGTATTTTAAGAGTTAATCTGCAGGTGGATTAACAAAAACGGGAAAATAAATGTTGAAGATTAAGATGTACTGGGAGTTCACAATTTCCATACCTTAAAAAGCAATGACTGATGCATGTGTGAGACACTGTCATCATAAGCTGGTGAGTCACGATATTGCAAGGCTTTGATTATTGTGAGACTGAGCGTGGTGATCAGAACTGAAATAACCTTGGCATGCTTGTTTTGAAAAGGCATCATTTTGAGCAGAGGACTCTGTATACTTTGGGTACATGTGACCTTGAAATGGATTTTGAACTCTCCTTCCCTGCTACGAAGTATTTCAATTATGCAAAACATTTCCTCTTTCCCAGCGGAGAAAAGCAGTCCCAATTTGTGGCAGTCACTATTTACCATATTAAACCAAACAGATTTAATATAGGAGAACTGGTGGATTGGATGGGCAGTAATCTGTCCTCTTCAGGCTGCCAAGTGCTTTTTTCACTGTAAGTTTCAAAAGAACTTGAAGGAAGCCTCTATAGCGCATAAAAAATGCAGCCTTCCTACTTAAAGGACAACCCTGTCTCTTCAGCTTCTTGAAGTCCACGTACTTCTGAGCATGTATCAACCTGTTAAGCTGCGCACAGGCAACTGGTGCCAGCCTGGGAAACCTGCAGGTCAGTGCTGAAGCTGTTAGGTCATGTATTTGTATGATGTATAGTGTAGTCTTCATATAGAAACTATGAGCTCTAGCCGCTACTGCTGTGAGCTCCCTATAGGATTTAAGGTCTGCTGTCAGTTTGCCCACCTCTTTAAGGAACAGAAAGGAGATTGTTCTTTGTAGCATTGTTGGGAAGTTTAATTAACTGTGTGCACTAATACAGAGGACAGTATTCTTCTGATCTCCACATCAGACAAGTTCATTCTTCTATGGACTCCAACTCTCTTTTTTATATTGAAAAAGAGGCCTAGAAGACTGTAAGGCATCAGTTTTCATTGCAGACATCCCTGGTCCACAGGGCCAGAAGGGAAGATCAGATGAGCAGACAGACCAAAAGACATGACCATTTAATGCTGGCTGGAGCCATTCACATCTGCTTGCCTGAAGCCTGTCCCCCAGAAAGACCCCGGACCTCAATGGAAGACATCAGCAACCACTGAATCAATCTCTTCCTTGGGTTGCTCATCTCAATTATTTATCATCAGTAAACACTATTCAAAAAGTATGCCTGGTCTCTAATTTTGGTTTTGAGCTTTTTTAATCTTCAACAATAGCTATTCTGTGCCTTGCTCACTAGATTAAAAAGCCCTGCAATAGCTGGCATTCCTGCCCCCCCCCCCCAGCCCAAGACAATCGTACACAGAATTAAAGTCACTTCTCAAATGTCTTTTGGGTCACCTGTACAACTCTAGTTCTTTACATCCCCTGTTGTAACTTATCTTCTCTAGCCTGAGAAAATGACCTTTGATGATGTCCTTTTTAATGATTATCAAAATAGCAACATGGTGTTAGACAGTCACCATAACATGCTGAATTTATTATTGCTTCCATTACTGCAGCTTTCCTCTGTAATCAAACATTATCTTATGAGTTTCAAAACTAGAAACAGGGCAAAAAGCAATTTCAGCATAACGATGTCATTATTTAAACTAACTGCAATTGTAGTAAGAAGCACCCCTTCCTCAAGCAACAGAGGAAAACAAAGAGGGTATAGTTCCCAGGAATATGATAACTGCTGTATCCTTCTGGCAGAGAGCCAGCAAAAGCATTTGCAAGTCTGCATGCTACAGCTTACTTGGACACTCCATTTCTTACAGCATTGGCTTTGTCTAAAGCACATTCCCATGTCTCCAGGCTCTTTTGTCAGCATTCAAATGAATCTATGCAACACAAAGATGAAATTAAAAAAAAACCAACAAAACACACAGCCACTTGGCCACCCACAACAACAGCACAGTAATGCTGAGTGCTGTGCACCCTACATTGACCATGTGTGAGATTTGGAAACCAGAGCGTGTGCTCCTGTAGCATTTGCTACAGGAATGACCTCTTCTTTCTTTGGTGGTCTTTCACTGACTGCAGGGGTAGTGCGTAGGATCACCAGTTGGCATGATATATCATACAGGGACCACCTGCATCTAAATCTACAAGAGAAAATGCTTTTCTGAGACAATCAACGATCTTTTTTTTAAAAGAGAGGCAGCATGTGGCAGATGCACAATGCTGTATCTGGTGCATTGGGCAACGAAACAGAGCTAAACTGTGTCTGCACTGAGCAAATCAGATTTATCAGTCAACCCACAGTGTGTATATTAGCCAACGCAGCAAAGGTACCATAATCTGTACCCATGTGGTATCCACCTGATGATGAACATAAGTACATGCATTTAGCTAAATGTACTGTACTATATAATATCATACGCATGCCTTGCTGCTACGGTGAGACCTTTCCTCCCATGTCCCACCATGATGTCCCGACTCCCCAGGAAGTAACAAGAGCCAGGAGGGCGAATGCAAGCACAGGCTGCCATGGGGCTATAAAAGCTGGGGAAGGGTTAATTTCCTCCACACGAACAGCTGTGCACACATAAGGTAGGTAGGTTTTAACAGCCCAAGTGAGACATGCAGTTGCCTTTCTCCCCTTCCTTCCCTCCCCACAATGTCTTTCCTCTGCTATTCCCTTTCTTGATGTCACCTAAATGCTGACCCAGACCTGCTCATTTCTCAGCTCCTCACCCCACTTAACCCTCCCAGAGACCTGCTGGATGACTTGTGCTGGGAAACGCTCTGCTCATGCTGCCTGCCATGAGGAGGAAGAGAGCAGGACTTTAAAGTCACCAGCACTGTATTCCTGCTCCGGAGCAGATATCGTGGTGTTGCCGTCCCCAAGGACTGAGGCCGGCCTGCTGTGAGCGGAGCATCCTGAAGGGCCCAGCTCTGCCTGCTTTGATGCCCTGCTCTGCTCTTCCCCTGCTGGGTCTCATCTGCCCTGCTTCGAAAAGACAGACTACAGGGAAAAAAACAAAACTCATGTGCTAAACCTTAAGTGGCCTGGAGAAGGCTCATGAGAAGTTGGGGAGGGGGAGCGCTGGTCTGGGCAAAGTGGCCCTGCCATCTGCAGGTCCCCAACACAGCAAGATGTGCATGGACAATTTGTGGTCCCAGAAGAGCTTGCTGGCAAAGTCTTTCCAATTTTTTACGACTTCCAATACCAGACAGATTCAAAGCAGAAACACCTTAGCCTATGTCAGGCATGACTTTGCAATCCAAGTAGGATCACATCAAAAGGCACAGAAAAATCTCTGCTATACACAGCATTATTTCTTTCTCCTGAAGGGGATTCATTTAATAAGAGTGTGAAACTCTTAACTCAATGCTTTCATAATGGGGCTGTGGATGAGGTGCATGAAAACTGCTTCCAGAGCATCCAGCTTAGGCTTTGCAGATGCTTGCTTGTGTGAGAAGGCAGGTCTTGCGTCCCTGGAGAGCAAATGCTCCGAGCTGTCTGAATTGAGTGGCAGCAGTGGGCTGAGGGACCACGCTGGGACCCCTGACCACCCACAGCTGGGTACAGCTCAAGGGCACCCCAGCTCCAAGCACTACAGAGGGCCTGAACAAAATGATGGGCAAAGCTGCTGCCTGCACCATTAGAGGGGGTACGAGCCTCTGGCAGTTCTCTGTTTATCAGCTGTGACTTCAGCTCTGGGCAAGGAAATACCTTGATAGGTGAACGTCCACCTACTGCTGCTAATAGCTGGTAGCAGGTATACTAGTTGTGAGCTGTGAGGTTGTAGCTAGTAAGAAGGAAAAAACTATGTGCTTCGATTTGTAGCATATGAACTTGTGTTAGAGAAAACTTTCTGTTCCCCACTTTGAAAGTGTTTCCATTTTTTTAACTGGTAGAAAGCAAACACAGATTTTTACAACATTTTGTGTATGTGTGAAAGAAAAATCTTGGCACTTGGCATTGCAGCCTTTCTGCAGGCGGCAAGTAAACAAAGAGAGATGAAGAATGAGAAAATGAAAAACCCTCCCGGTTCCCACTCTCTTCTCCAGCCTGTCCTTGCTAGGATAGTACCCCTTCCCTGCCAGTTAATAGTATTACCACAGTCGTCTTTGTGCTCTTTTGCTTCCCAACACACAATTTTAGAAATGGAAAGCTACTGAATCCAGGAAAAAGAAGAGACTATTGATTTTAAAACTGTGTGTCACGAACAGAATCTTTTAAACCTTTGCTGCTGCTGGCATCTGTGGTGGTTAAAAGAGGAGCAAAAAGAAAAAATCCTATTCCCTTGTCACTCATCATGCTCTTTGTGTCCTTCTGGCTTTTTTCTCAGCTTGGACAGTGAAGTTGAGATAGTTTCAGTTCATGTGTATGCATAATAAATTTCCCTGTTGTACTCCTATCCCTCCATTTTTTGTGCCTCAGACAATATGCAGGTATTGTTTATGTAGTTAAAAACTTGCTTAACTAACTGCTAAACAGAAATTGTCAGCATCCTTTCCTGGATGAGGCTGGAGTCTGGATACCATTAACTGGGCAGCAGAAAAGAGG